CATATAGAAAACTCATTTAAAGTGCGCGAGAGATCAGAATCTTTATTATTCACTCACAAATGTGTTAGGCACCCTGGGGGAACCAGGAGAAGCTCCATCCAGGAGCTGAAAGTCTCCATGCCGCCTGTCGCAGTGACTGAGAGATACCGAGAGACAACAAAAGCCTGAAGTGCAGAGGGAAGAGGAGCATTACCAGAATATTAGATCAGTCTTCATAAATTAAAAACTGGTATTGTGAATTCATAAATCTTCTTAAGAATAATGTAGTGTCAGTTACGGAAAATCTGAGAGGATAGAGTAATGGGTTTGTATTTTTAAAATCTCTAAAGTAGTCAGGTTTCATTAAAATCAGGAAATACCTTAATGCGTCCCTTCCAGTTATTTTTTATGTATTGTCATTAGCCCAGTTTGGCAGTTTTTTTTCCCCTTTGATTTGAGAGGAAGCTTGCTTGACTGTTGCCAGGCAATAGCTAATTGTGATATTAACTGCCAGCGAGCTGCTGGCAGGGATTGTGCAGGCTTTTTCCTTGTTAACAAAATGCAGTGTTAGAGTTGCAGCAGTGCATAAAAGCTTCCCTATCGCTCAAAATTGGTAATGCGAGTGGCAGATGCTTCAACGTAACTGCAGTGTAGCCAGATGCACGGCACCAAGGCCTCCCTGCAGCACTGGGTAGGTACCAGCTCCTGGAAGATGCAGCCCAGCACGGACATCCAGGCTGGGCAGAATGCTGAGTGTGATTTGGCAATACTGCAGGGATTGAGGAGCACTGGAGGCAATCTAGCAGCACGAGGGATGCGCCTCTCTGCTTTCCCATTGACCACTGGAGAACCTAGGTTTTTTGGCCTGAAGTGCTGCTCACCTTGAAGCACTGAAGGATACTGTATTCCCAGAAAAACATTCTTCCAACGTTTTTGTCTCAGTTAGCTCTTCATCCAAAGCTGACTTCTCAAGAAGTGGTATGTATCAGAGCCTTGTGGCTTGGCTGGGAGTCCATTAGAACCTTCTGGCTGTAGACTGAGTCCAGCTTGCCTCTGGAGCTGAACACACATTCCAAGAGCAACATTCCCTGCTGCAGATGATGGACTCCAGGCAGACAAGAACACCTATTGCTATTTGCTATTTTGAATGTGAGAATGATTGTACTTTTTTTTTTTTCTTTTCTTTTCAGAAGCTTTTGTAAGTGGATTTCCCAGCCCACAAGAGGCTCTGCTGGTTGCTTTGAAAAGGCAACTCGTTTTTTCTAAGTTTGATGCCCTCCTTGGGCATCTTCAACTCACTGGTTGTCAGAAGTGCAGGTGAATCTGTAGTAAGAAATTTAGCTGTGGAATGGGTTGGCGATGAAGGCCCTGCAGCAATGCCTTCACTCCTGGGAGATTCAGTTCCACTACTGAGCTGAAAGTGCTACCAGCCCTAGGCAAGGGGTAGCCAACGAGCTGATGTTCTCCAGTCTCTCCTCAGGTGTCGTGCTGCTCAGGAAGGGAGAGTTGCATTTCTTCCCACCACAGCTTTTCACAAAGCTGCTGCCTTGGCCTAGGTGTAGAATTGCTTCAGTCACCCATCTTTGCAAGGCATTCGCTGGGCGAATGGTTACTTCTTCTGTGCTCTCCCTCCGCCTCCTGTTGCACTTTGGACGGGCCAGGAGCAAATGCACTGCTCTCCATTTGCTGTCTCTGTGTTTTCATCAGCCCTTAATTGTGGTGTGCAGTCCCACAGAATTGAATTTGTTTTGAGTTTTCAGTTGTTAGGGGTTTTAAAATCTGTTAATCAGACCCTTCTGACATAGAGGCCTGTGAGAGATTTTGGCACGTTTGTGAAATGCTGCAGCTATTAAAGAGAATTCATACTGTGGCTTTATTTTTTGTTTTAGTGCTTGGCTTTAGGAACGACTGTCCCGGTGCACTCCATGTGTGCCCAGGAATGGCCAGGCAGCTCCCGGCAAAGCTGTGCCCAAACCCTGGATTGTTTCAATTATTTCAGCAAAGCAGCATTTTCTAATGGAAAAGCTTTCCTTCACAGCATCCCTGCTACCCCTTCTGGCTGAGGCAGCTTCCTGTGCTGGCCCTGCAGCACTGAGGGTTCCTGCTGGTTGAGTCTCCAGAGGGATAACTGCCTCCAGCAGAAATCCAGGCCCACTTGTCACATGTAGGCATTTGCAGCAAATTGGTGCTTCTGCAACAAATGCTGCTGCACTCTGGGGTATTCCTTTGACTGAGGGTATGCTTCAAGTGACCGTGTTTTCTACAAATCAAACCAATGGTCCTTGACAGGTAACTGTTGAGGTTTTCGTATACCCTCTTATCCATTAGCTGTGCTAATTAGTGTTCTTTCAAGATGCTCGTTTGCAATTTCAGCTCTTTGCTATTGATCCAAGCCCCAGTGAAGCACACTGTGCCTGTCTGGTTAAGGGGTTAAGTCAGTCCAGACCCTCACGGGTTGCAGGTTTTCCTGCAGCAATGCAGTTCAAACCAGTAGCTGCCTTTCTTCACTAGCGTTGCGGGGATGGATTAGAAATGAAATTTGACTTCAGTCAGTGTGTTTATTTCATCAGGTTGGAGAAGAACTCCACTGTTAGTAGTGCCAACTGCATAAGCATTAATCTTACAGCACATATTGATTGCAAATGGAAGTTCATAAAGCAGGTTTCATATTTTTATGTCATAACAGAAGCAGTCATGATTCTCCAGTCTCTTACAGACTAAACTGAAGGAACAATTCATTTGGAAAAATGCCTGGGATGGACCCAGTGTTTTTTTTTAATCATAGATGGTCTTTAGAAGAATAAAGTTTTTAAAATGATTTCTTAATCTGGTACAGGGAGAAGCAGCTTCTGAACACATTAAAGTGAGAGATAGCTTAACTCTCATTTCTCAACTTGAAATACGTTTTAATAATTAATGCCATCTGAGACTTCATAGGCAAAAGTTTGGAAATGGAAAGATGATTTCTCCAGTGCTGATCCGATGTAGTTGAACTCCAGCAAAGCCCCACAAACACAGAAGTTGGTTGTTTGAAAGGCTCAACCAGTCACTGCCTATGTTATTTACATGCTTGAATTCTTCAGCTTCCTTCCCTGGGAAGGCATAGTTAATTTCCTCAGTTTGCGAGTTTGTACTGAATCAGATTGGAGTTTTTGTTAAAAAGAGCCTTGGGCCTTCTAATTGGAAAATAAGAGAAATCACTACTGCTTTGTTTCTTTGGTGGAGACATTTTGTCTATTCAAATATATGGTTATCCCTCTGCTCTTTAACCCACTCCTACCCAGAAGCAGGCAATAGCCTGGATTTTTACCACCGCTCCAGTTTTCATCTCCACCAGCACTGTTTGGATTTGAAGACACGTGGAGGTGCAGCGCTGCAAGTCCTCGTTGCTGAGGCAGCAGTGGGTGAAGTAAGGGTGTGCAGGAGGGGGGCTATGTAGGGTGCAGTCAGAGGGCTGCTCCACCACTGCCCACTCGCAGCCTGTTGGCTCCTGCCCCACACGTTGCCCCGGACTCACCGTGATAGAAAGCATCGAGCCTGTTTGCAGGAGCACAAACGCCCTCAGCAGCCCTTGACCTTTGTGTGAGCTGAGGAGCTGCACTTGAGGAGCTGGCGCTCGCTATAGGAAATGCAAACAGTCGGTTATATTAAACCCTGTGAAGTGAGCGTGTGCATTCAGACAAGTGCACGCCCCAGTGCACTCTGGCGCTTCTGAATGTAGGCCTACTTAACTTCTTTTTGGTCGTTTCAGTCTCTCTCTCTGTGTCTTTGAACTCCCCTTTTTGTTCAGGAGTATTGAAGGCTTTATTACTCTTGTAATTGCCGTGGATCCTTTCATGGTCTGTATTTTAACACTTTATTGAAATAAGCCGCGCACTGAAGTTTTTGTATGTTAGCACAAGAGTCTCTGCAGAATGACTGTAAAAATAGTGGGTTTCTTTTCAATGTGTGGCATTTTATCAAAACTTTGCTCATTCCGAGAATGCAACAGACAGCATCTGCTTTCCATTTTGTTGCCTCGTAGTGGTAGACAAAGGGCAAAGGTAACAGCAGAAATGGCGCGTGGGGCTTTGCGAAGGGCAAGGGGGATTACCTGCAGAGGCAAAGTTGCCTTATATTGATCTTAATGAAGGATATTTAGTCTCTTGCTTTTAATTTCTGCTAGAATTTGGGAGCAGGGCACTTACTGCTGTACTGATTGTGTGCTTTAGTGATAGTAACTTCAGTAAAAACTTTGTGCAGTGCAGTGCATATGATTGTCTTCAAGCTTAGAGGGCTTATTTGGAAGCCTGTTTCCCAACCATAGGGGAGGTCCGTGGAAGCCTGTCCCTTCCACCTGCCTCAGCAATGTTCTAACACCTTTCCTATGATTTTGGCCATTTCTCATAAGCATTGCCAGGCGCTTTCCTGGGGTGCTGAGCTTGGCAGGAGGATGGGCTGTCAGATCTGCTTGGTTAGGGAAGGAACAAGGTGTTCATTTGGGGGTTCTTGCTTTATTTCCATGGGGCCAAGCGTGCTATGAAGGCACATGGCTGGAGCTGCTGGTGGTACTGGGCGGCATCGTGGCTGGTTGGGGAATGTGGAGCACAGAGATGAGGGCTGTGTGGCTCTGGTCGGGGTCTCTGACTGATCTCCGAACCCTAAGCTCCCTGTGTTTTAGTGGATGGCATGGAAAAAAGGCAAATAATTTGCTGTACTGAGAATTCAGAAAGAAATTGAAAAAATTTTGAACTTGGTTTGTTTTTTATTATTATTTATTCCAAATAACCTTTTTCTTTCTTCCTCTAAATGAGAGTGTGGGTGTGTGCTGTGCTGAATTGTTCTGCTTACGAAGAGAATGCATCTTGAATAAAATTAACCTATTTTTAAAAAGAAATTTTAGACTCTTGCTTGAAGGCAAAAATGCCTTAAAGTTGCATTAGCTTCTTTAGTAAAAACAAAATGAAATTCATATAAATAGTAACTTATAATTATTTAATGTGAATGAGATTTTCTTTACACTTATTTCTTATTACCTTTAGCACATCAGGTCCACCCATTTGGCCAGGAAGCACCTTTTTCAAGAGAAATGGAGCTCTTCTGCAAGGTAGGTGATGGATGCTACATCTTGGAGTAACTGTTCTACTTAATTTATACCTCTGCTTGCAAACTGGACAGTTTCTGTAATATTCACTGGGCAACAAGTAACCAACTGTTTTTGTTTCCTTTAATCTGTTTCCTTTACTGCGCATCTGGTGCCTTGAAAATGATGATTCACTACGTAAAGTGAGTGTAGTCTATAAAAATGGCTGCTTTGTTTCTTTCCTCAGATTATTAATTTGCTTACGGCATAGTATGGCAAAGGGTTTTTGTGATTTTTTTTAACCTTTGTGGAATAAAGGATGTCCAGAATGAAATGCTCCAGTAACACTGCTTTTAGTTGTGTGAATGAAGCAGGGCCATTCTTTGGGAGATGTCCTTTCTTTTACCCCCTAGTTGTGCTTTACCTAAAGGTGCCCAAAGGCAGGTAGGGGTGCTGTAGCAGATAAGCAGTAGTGGAGTATCTGTCTCCAGAAAGCTGCTGTGTGTAAGGGTGCTTATCTTTGCAGAGGAATTTGAAATATCTTTAGATGGATAATACCATTACTCACTGCAAAGTGTGTTTATATTTCTGCTGCTGAACACATGGGACTACTGTCATTCTTATGGGAAGTGCCTTAAGAGCACAGAAGGCTGTTACTCCAGACTCTATACGTTTGTGTATGGTGCAGAAGTAACTAAGACCATTTAAGAAGATTTTATAGTCTTTGCAAGCAGCTGTCCATGAAGTGTCTTAATTTTGTGTTTATTTACATGATGGCTTTTTTTTCTGGCAGAAAATGCTGTGTAATGTCCTCTAAACATTTATCTGAGTTACCTAAAATGAAACCTTACTTGTAACTAGGCCCACAGGTGAATAATTGGCAGGCAGCACTGCTCACCTTCTGCATGCCAACCTAGTCCAGCATTTGTTGTTCACCTGAAAATATTTTTCAACTGATTCCTTGCACGTATCTAGGAGTTTGCATCATTCTATTATCTAATACTTACGCTGAGATTTGTTCATACGTATTTTAGATACATTAAGGCACTTGGATTATTTCTTAACAGTATAAATTGTAGAGCTTGGCAGCCTTTGAATTTGAATTCAGTAGGGTAGATTTGCTGTCTTTGCCGTCCTGAAATTTTGTTGTTGGTTCCTTTTTTAAAGAAAAAAAGCAACTATTGTGAATAGATAGGTTTCATTTGGATGTTCAACAGTTCTGGTTTTAAATGTCTGCTTGCACATATATGGTTTTTGTGATTTCAATTCATAAAATGTAAGCTGCTCTGTCAGGTTTGTATGGCTGTGTTTTACTTCTTCATATGATGCAAGATGTCTAGGAGTGAAGTACAGCTATTTTTGTAGTCCTCGCTGCCTCAGTTGTTGCTCAAAACCTTCTGCCAATAAAAAAGCGTGCTGTTCTCCACTCTCTTCTACTCTTCTTTGTCTTCTTAAATAAGAGGGAAAAAAAAACCACCACCTCATGTTAAAGAAATAGAGAAAAAGAGAGAGATGACTGCTTTTTCAAGCAACTAACCTCAAGACCTGTAAGTGAGTTGGCATCCTGAGTTGCTGTTACAAGTGTAAAAGCGAACCAATTCAAATGCATGACCCAGCAGTGAGGCTAGGATGAAAGTGTGAAGATAAAACTTCTGAATGTTGTCTTTTAGTACTTGGTTATGATTGTAAAACAGCAATTCCTTTCTTTCTTTTGTTTGTCCCAACAATGAGGTCTTCCATGCACAGACTTCAGCAAGTTGCCTGGGAATAGTAAATCCACTTCTTTGCTGCTTCTGTCTTTTCCACAGGACTTGTGTAGAGGAATGCTAGCTCTGCAGGGAGGTTGAAGGTGACGGGGTGGAGAGATTTGTGAAGACCCACCTTACATGGCCATCTTATGTCTCTTCTGCCAGTGCTTATATCCGGCTTAATTCAAATGAAGGAATGAAACGTTGACTTACATACCAGTTTCAGGTTATATCACTGCAGTTTGATTGGCAAAAGCTTAGGTAACAAATTTTACTCAATAAGTATTTTGCTACTTGTGAAAAGAAAGTTCAGTGAGTGTTACAGACAATAATATAGAATAATTCTGAAATTTTAGTAAATGTAATATGTGTGCTGCTTGTCATACCACATTTCTTCTGAGTTGTTAAAGTACTTTTTTTTTTAGCCTAGGAAGACTAGCAAGCACTCCTGATTTCTATTTGTTGTATACTTGACCTGTTTGGCAAAGTAAACTCAGCCATAGTAAAAGATTTAATGTACTTCTCCAAGGATCAGGAGAAACCAGCTATCTGTGTACCTCAAAACTGCAAATGAGGAGAAATGGGTGCTAAAATTCATTATGGCAATTCTGTGTCCTTACAGTCTTTGATGTGAGCAGGATTAATTCTCCGTTCCTTTCTGTCTTGTACTTTGCTGAATAATTTCGAACACATCTCCCAAAATATACGTGCTGTGTTCATTTTGACTGTAATTTTATTGGGTATGAGATAGCTACCTCAGTTTCTTTTATGAGGATCATGGTACTGCGGTTCCAAGCATTAACTTTCATATCAAAACAAACAAATAGTAAATCTACTGTTGAGTAAGTTACCAGTGCTATTAAAAATGGTGAGCTCCTTCTACTAGATGAGAATTGTACCCTCGTATAGTTTTGCTCTTTGGTTTTCTCATGAATCCCCATGCAGTATGTAATACAGGTAGGACACCAGCCGTATCAGGTTCTAATTCCTCCTCTCAGAGCTGATTTGTACATCCAAGGAGCTTGCTGCATTCTGGCCTTCAGGATTCCCAAGACAAAAAAATACAGCATTTTGCTCTTACTGCTTTACCTTTCCTACACAGGAATTTGTAACTCATTATTGTACGTGTTGTGGTGTTTATTTCAAGTCACAGCTCTTTTTTTCACCTTCTTTATTGATAGCTTTTGTTCCCACTGGTTTTTCCTGTTTTCATCTGTCTTCACATACCTCTTCTTATTTCGTAAAATGCTTGACATGAAGAAGTCTTTAATGTAGATGTGTACTAAACTCTTCAGGAACTTGTGCTGGGTGAGATAGGTGCAGATGTATTCTCATTAATTGGAAGGCTTGAAAGTAATGCACTGTGTTCAGATTAGATCTGTTTTATTCCTCTGCGTGGATCTTCAGTTTTAAGCTTAGGATATTGCCTTGAGGATGCAATTGTTCACAAACCAATTGCAATAATAAAACTGTTTTGCTCTCAATATATGTAATAATCTCCCAGAAAAAAATTAAAAATACATCTTTAACATAACTTTCAGTAGCAGTCATACATAAATTTCAGTTGCGAGAGTGCCACCTGTGTAAGAAAATCTGTCTGGTCTATGGAGAGCTTCCGAGCCAGGTGTCAGCTGTAAGATGAAGGTCTGTGAAGGTCTGTGGAGAGCTTTTGTTTATTTCTTGAAGAGAAAACTTTCATTTTGAAAAAAAAAAAATCACACTTGGAACTCACTGTTCTTTCTTTTATTTGTTCTCACACTAAAACTAAACACAACGTATTACTTTGTATCAAATCTTGTATCAAATTTATTCTGTACTGAGTTTCAAGGAAGTGTCCAGTGATGGTGCCTGTGGGGATAATTACAGCTGTCCTGAAAATAGGACGCTGTGCTTTGAAAGTGGAGGTTTTTGGAGGCAGTTCCTACTCTGCGGAGGACTGTAGCAGGAGTGTAAGAGCTGCAGAAGCTGCCCTGGGAGATGCAGGAACCCCATGGCTGGTCAGCACAATGGCAGCACTCTGTGCTTTAAGGCAAGCATGTGCGTGCCAGGCGTAGTGCACTTCTTGGGTCTTAGGTTTCTGGCCAAAGGTCAGCAAAAGCAGACCTTTGTGGTAGCAGTGTGAGTGACTCTTCGTCTCCTAGCGTAAGGAAGTGACCCTGGGTCGTCTGTGTGCTATTGCTCGTGAGACAGGGTGCAGAGATGGTTCTCCTCAGTGTGACTGGGTTGCCACCTGGGAGTGCAGATTCAGCTTCACAGAATCACAGCAGTTTGAAGCGACCTCAAGAGATCATCAAGTCCAAGCCTCCCGCTAAAGAAGATGCCCTACAATAGGTTGCATAGGTAGGTGTCTGGACAAGTCCTGAATATCTCCAGAGAAGAGATCCAGAGCAGATGTTCCAGTGCTCCACCACCTTATCATATAGAAGTCCTTCTGCATGTTAGTACAGAACTTCCAATGTTCCACCAGTTCTGGTCAGCTGGGGGTACAGCTGTGATCTCTCTGTACAGTCTGCTTATATTGTGAGCAAGTTCATCCACTTGCTTTGCTGATGACCAGCACCATTTAAATCTGCTGCTTGTGGATGCAAAATCAAAGTCACATACTGTTGTTCTAGAGATGTGAAGTGTTTCTTGTGGACCTTGGCTTACATCTGCACTCAGGATTGCTGCATTCAGTGAGCTGCCATCCTTTAAGTGAGCTTTCCTTTAGTGAAACCTTTTTAATAAGAAAGGGGAAAAAAAGATTGACAAATTCGTCTCCCATTCGCTAAGCATGAGAGGGAAGGAGTGAGAAGTCCTATTGGTCTCACCTGGCTGGGAAGCCCCAAAAAGCAGGGGTTGTTTTCCCCGGGCCTCACTCGCTGGTTTCATTGTGTACCACCAGCTGTGAGAACAGGCATCCTCATTCACCATGAGACACCTCCATCTCTGACTGATGCTTCCACCAATGTGTGCACGACCAGCCTTGGTCCAGCTGCCCTTGCTGTAGCTTGTGACGGTGGGCACTGCCTGTGTCAAGCTGTTGAAGGAGGGAGATGGAACACGCCAGCAAGTATCACCAGGACCAGAAGGAGACAGAAGCTGGATTTTTTTGCAGAGCAGACATTGGAAACACTGGGCACTGCTGCTGCAGACAGGACATTGACCATCGATTCCCTCAATCAAAGATGGTGGCTTTCACGTTTTAATGTATTGATCTCCGATATGTCTTAACATAAGACTTTCTGGAGATGGCCAAAGCATGGTAATATATTTGAGAGAGCAGACCTGTATCTC